TCACTATAAATGATTTCCAAATTGAAACTGTGCTTGATGGAAGATTACTTGGTATTCAGTTTGAGCTGGTCTGTGCATATCGATCTGTTGTGTAAAAAGATATCTCAAAGATTAGGTATATTACGACGAATACGTCACCATCTGCCACTAAACGCTCGTAAAGCCTTCTACCGATGTTTAATTCTCTCCTTGATGGATTACTGTAGTGTGATTTGGGGGAATACATCTACCCAAAACTTGGACAGACTTCATCGGCTTCAAAAGAGAGCTGCCAGACTGATTTTAGATCGTGATCATAAGGCACCTTCACTGCCTTTATTTTTTTAACTTGGATGGCTTCCAGTTCACGAGAGAATACGATATTTTCGTGCCAGTACAGTTTATAAAGCGTTAAACAATCTATCTCCAAGTTATATCACTAGCTTACTTTTACCATTTAGCAAAGTACATAATGTAAGTACTCGCGGCTCCACAAATAACAACTTGAAGCTTCCAAAAGTAAACACTAATGCTGGTAAACGTACTTTTGCCTTCTTGGCAGCTAATGAGTGGAATCTATTACCTGATAGTGTGAGATGCTCGACATCACTTTCCTCATTTCGTAAAAACTACATAAATTTGGCCTTTTCCAAACTCAAGGATAATATCTGACTTGTGTTTATAACAATTAACGATCATTTTTAACCCTATGTGTATATTTTTAGACTTAGTAACTCTTTATATTGGTATTTATAGTCTTAGTATTAATAGACAGTATATTACTTAGGGCCTAGATGAAAATTATTTCGTGTAACCCTAGTCACCCTGTTTAAATAAAGTGTTTATTATTATTATTATACCTATGGTTGTTCTATGCTGAATATGTTGTTCTATACCGAATACAAGGCGGGCAAATGCTCATATTTCGCACGGACATTATAATAAATTACAGTGGTTTAGCAACTCATGGGGCATTTAAAACCATTTTAACAATACTACGGTGCCCATTATCCATGAAAACATTAAAACATCACGGATCACTTTTACCAATTTCAACAACTACAGTAGATTTTACAAAGAAATTCTGTATGTTCTAAGTAGCAACACCTTATTTTATAAACCTACATGCACGGCCAAAACTAAATAATGAAGCCGCGTTCATTTCATCTAGCCGTGTTTTTACATTTTTGGCCGCGATAACACGGCCAACACGGCCTTCAAGCTAAGACCCTGCCGGTGTTCGCCTCGTCGCCTTTTCTAAATATGTCTAATATCTTAACATCAACACCGAAAATGACCGCATATACATGTACTATAAAGTATGAAGCCCAAAAATCTTTTCTGAGTTCACGTATAGAGCGTTTGCACTCATTCCCCATGGACCAACTCAACAAAAGCCATGGCGACCATGTTGGTGTTCCAGACAAAAGAGTCCAATTCAAATTATTTTGAATTGGAACACCAACATGGCGGCTGTGACGTCATGTGCAAACGCTCTATAGTAGCAAAAGTTAAGTTGAACAAAGTCTCATGCAAATTCTAGCTCTCCCACTTCTTAAAATAATCAAGCAGGGCAAGACTGGATGCACATACGTGTGAATGAGATTGGTCAATGGTTCGATCATTTTCTTGCCCAAACGTGGTTCCAATGGACACAAAGCTCCAAACTACAATAAGAAAACATTTATTTAATAGTTTCGCCACTACACGCGTAAAAATATCACATCTTCTCAACAAGAGGTGTTCGCAACAGGCTTGTAGCAGGGTTGTCAATATTTTGTAAACAACGTTGTTAGTTTGTCAAGTTGTTACAAGATTGCATTTGCGACACACAACTTTGTTTAACATGTTGTTGGAACAACTTGTAACTCGTAACAAGTCTGTTAAGACAACAATCTTGTAGCAAGTTGTCAACAAGCCATTAACAACTTCTCATGATGCTAGGAACAAGGAACATCTTGACAACAGGTTGTTGAAACAACATTGGTGCTTCCTCGTACCCAGGCGCTATGTTGCTGCTATGACGACGTAAGATACAAACCAAAGAGCTTGAGTACGAGGCAGGCATTGGTGCTTTTTTATGTGTGTAAGACGACGACGCACTGTCATGTGTTTTGTTTTGAATTACACACGTTATATCGTGACCTATGCCAATGAAGTATATTTTACCAGTTTAATGATTTTGATTAATGTCCAGTTGTTCGTCGAGCTATTCATCAGTTTGAAGAATACAGGTGCCAAAGAAAGATAATTCTTTGGGTTTTTCCGAGCCAGTTCACATATCACATTTACCGCCGCAGATTGAACACCTGAGAAATAAATAAATTTAAGATAAGTTGTGGATTCATAAAATTAAGAATACCATTGTTAGAACGTCATGGTCGAACAATTTTATGCTGAAGAAGGTCATGCATGTTATAGCTGGACAGGAACGTTCTTAATTTAACTTTTCAACTTATAGAAAAACTACAATATGCAGCGTCAACCAAGAAACCCAAATATGTTATACTGCATGTACTATGGAAATTTCAATTCAATATAGTCTATGAGCCGAATTTGTTGGCGTCACTATGACAGCAAAAGTGGGACTGGAAGAACCTTAAATTTATTAGTCAATATGTAATATACATGACAAACATGACGTAATTGACGTGACAACGCGAGCCTGAGTTCAGTATTGGCATAATTACGAATACTTCATGTTGAAACAATGTTTGGAAAATATAGGCGAAGGGTCGTTGCATGCATGCACTTCTAGTATAGTGCATGATATGGAATGCAGGCCTGAAAATAATCATAATGTTGAATTTTTTTTTTTCTGTGTTGGTGTAGTGTACTCAGGTGAATATGATATTTGTGGTGTTACTCTGAGTGTATATCCACACCGGGCGGGCTTGAAAAATATGCCCGGCCACGGTGGGATTCGAACCTACGACCTTTGGAATACTAGCCCAATGCTCTTCCAACTGAGCTACGCGGTCAGGACGGTTCGAGTAAGTGATATTTCGGAACAGAATCTAGTTCCTTCGATACCAATGTATTCTAGTAATATGAATTTTTTTTTTTTTTTTTTTCTGTGTTGGTGTAGTGTACTCAGGTGAATATGATATTTGTGGTGTTACTCTGAGTCTATATCCACACCGGGCGAGCTTGAAAAATATGCCCGGCCACGGTGGGATTCGAACCTACGACCTTTGGAATACTGGCCCAACACAGAAAAAAAAAATTCATTATTACTAGAATACATTGGTATTGAAGGAACTAGATACTGTTCCGAAATATCCCTTACTCGAACCGTCCTGACCGCGTAGCTCAGTTGGAAGAGCATTGGGCTAGTATTCCAAAGGTCGTAGGTTCGAATCCCACCGTGGCCGGGCATATTTTTCAAGCCCGCCCGGTGTGGATATACACTCAGAGTAACACCACAAAAATCATAATGTTGCTTAGAAGGACAAATGTCCGGCCAAGACAATTTTCTCGGGCAATGGACATAAAAAGACAAATTTAGCCGGACAATGTCCGATGACCGGCACTAAATTGCAGGCCTGAGAATGTGTTAGACTATTGATACGTGCGTGTGATACTCTTGAAGAGTGAAGTCAGTGAAGTCAGATTAAAAATATTAAAGTGTGAAAAAGAATCTATATACCCTATAAAGGTTTGGATAAGTCACATTTTATTAACTGTGGATATATAACTATATACATAAGTTTTGCAGCGAACGTTGTGTAGATTATTGATTATTGGCAAAAAGTGACCTATAGCTGCACTGCACGAGGCAACACAATTGTATATGATAGCACTTAATGATAGCACTTTGACCGTTTTGTGCAGTAATGTGTATCAATGGAAAATTTAGCAAAAATTTGTTGTACCAGTCATCATGCTCGTCTTCAGTGTAAGTGTTATGTACATATCTTGCTAACCTGGTTCTCCGTCTTCCAGTTTGTCTTTTAGTCGAGGAAAAGAAGGACGTAACGCTTCAGGAAACTAAGACGAAGAATTTAAAAACCTCATGGTAAACCTCACTGTATATACAGTACAGTACAGTACAGTACTACAGTATGTATATATATATAATGCAAGATTATCCATATTGGCGATTCTAGGGGTGGGCTTCGGGAAATGCGCACTCCATACTTCTTATAATCCCGCACTCCCAAAAAAAGGAAGCAAGAACGAGTGCATGGTTACAAAATATCTGCGCACTAGCGTCGAATGATTATACCAGTATGATAATCAGCATTACCTTTAGGAAAATCTTAAACAGCAACAAGATTCCTCTTTTTCGTATATACGGACGAGTGGATACAAGCTGAAACAAAGATGGCATGCGAATGAATATATATTATATAATTGATAATGGACCATTTGCATTATAGACAAAATTTTGATCTAGACAAAAATTTCATCACAGCTTGAAAGAGCATCACAAAATTAGTAATATTCCAAAGTTTCGTTGCGAAATGTTGTAAAATGCGGATAATACAGCCTTGCGTAGTTTGCCGTTTTTCAGTCATTTTGTATTACGCACGGGAAATTGACAGCCCAATCGGGTGTTGGGGCATCAATTTCCCGTTTGTAATACAAAATGACTGAAAATTGCAAATTTTCCAAGGCTATATTATCCGCATTTTACAACATTTCGCAACGAAACGTTGGAATATTACTAATTCTGTGATGCTCTTTCAAGCAGTGATGAAATCTTTGTCTAGACTTGTTAAGATCAAAATTTAGTCTATAATGCAAATGGTCCATTGGCTACTTGTTTAAATTCTGAAAATAGACATTTCAACATTTCAACAGTGATGCTGTTCATATTCGACCACTTTGGCCGAGACGGATCCTGGTAGAGATGATTAAATTAAGTGAACACGATCAGCGGAAAACGACTTCCAAGTACACGAGAATATAAATTTATTCATATCTGGGTAGCTATATAAGTTTATATACCATATGAAAATATACATCCTCGTTCCCAGGGCGTTTCGGTTGCCTTACGTTGCCACAAGACGTAAGGCAGCCGAGAAGCCCTGGGAACGAGGATGGAAAATATATTGCTTTCGCAAACCTTTAACATGCCAATTAATGAACTCAAAGTGTGTTTCGCATATAGTCATGTATAAGAAAAGTTTAAACCAGTTGATCTGGCAGAGTTAACAATGCCACATACCAGATTAGTTACATCGTTCGCCAGGTCTCTAGCCAGGTCTGGAGTGAGGAAACACGAAAGACCACTCAAAGCAACTGCGGAATCATACAGGTTTGTACTTGCCAGGTCCTACATAAGACAAGCTCCAGGTAAAACTACAATTACACTGCAGAAATAGTAGAACTTAACATGGAAGTGCTATAAACTACAAATGAGCATTGCATTGAAAATACAGAAAAAACTTTCTGTGGTGATGAAATAATCAATAAATTCGAATCACTTGCCAAGTTTTCTCTAAACATCTCAACCGCTACAATCAAACTGACAGTCTCAGGTTGACGTACTGTGCCATATATCGCTGCGACCGCTGTAAAACACGGCCGGACAAACCCACTACTGTAAATAACTGTGCATGCTATGTGTGATGTATACAGTGATAACACCACAGGAGGTCCAGGCTCGATTTGCCCGCGCCCGCCTGTGCCTTCCTTATAACGTGGGAAGGAAGGAGACATTGAGACCAAAATAGCCCAGACTTGGCATATGTCACACGAAACTATTCTCGATTTTTCGCTTTTAATGCATTTCTTTCACGATTAATCGATATCCCCTGCAAGAATGATACCGTATAACTCTCAAAACAACGATGCTTTAATCAAAGAGCTTAAATTCGCTCTGAAATCCGTGAGGGAATAACAAAATTCGGCCAAAATATATCCGCGTGCCGGGTTTGCTGTGCAAAAAGCGGAAGTCGTTGAACAACTCAAAATACACTCAACCCTGATTGGACAACGAATATCAACAAACATTTCAATTTTTTTTAACAGTACTGTAATAATTTCAATCATACAAACAAAACTATTCACAAACGTTATAATAAAGTGTAAATATTACTGCATGTAAATATAACTGTAGTACGTTAATATGTATAATAAATTGTATTTCACATTGTGTTTGTTAAAAAAATTTGAAATGTTTGTTGATATTCGTTCTCCAATCAGGGTTGAGTGTATTTTGAGTTGTTCAACGACTTCCGCTTTTTGCACAGCAAACCCGGCACGCGGATATATTTTGGCCGAATTTTGTTATTCCCTCACGGATTTCAGAGCGAATTTAAGCTCTTTGATTAAAGCATCGTTGTTTTGAGAGTTATACGGTATCATTCTTGCAGGGGATATCGATTAATCGTGAAAGAAATGCATTAAAAGCGAAAAATCGAGGATAGTTTCGTGTGACATATGCCAAGTCTGGGCTATTTTGGTCTCAATGTCTCCTTCCTTCCCATGTTATAAGGAAGGCACAGACGGGCGCGGGCAAATCGAGCCTGGGCCTCCTGTGATAACACTGGCGCGACCACGCTTTCTTTAAAAAATCGAACAAATCGTGTCCAACATGGCAACGAAATACACAAGCAAGAAATTGAAGGGTTTAAATCAAATAGCAAGAATTAGGCATTGCTAATTAAAATAAAAATAGGTACGCATTGCGTACATGTTGCATCCCATCTGAATCCTTATGATGCGCTTGCGCATCTTATTCACCTGAGTACATTACACCAACACAGCAGATTTCATAAATATTAGATTACACTGATATCGAAGGAACTAGACTCAGTTCCGAAATATCGCTTACTCGAACCGTCCTGACCGCGTAGCTCAGTTGGAAGAGCATTGGGCTAGTATTCAAAAGGTCGTAGGTTCGAATCCCGCCGTGGCCAGGCATATTTTTCAAGCCTGCCCGGTGTGGATATACACTCAGAGTAACATCACACAAACATCTTATTCACCTGAGTACATTACACCAACACAGCAGATTTCATAAATAACAGACTATCAGGTAAATTAAAAACAGCAAAGCTTTACCTACCTCGATCTATTTTCTAAGGCGCTCATTACAGGGTGCGATAATTCAAGATTTTAAGTCGTACCTGACTGGTACGCCAATGGTTGTTGCCGCGCACTTGCGCTAGTAGAAACTAAGTGCTCAATGTGTACTTAGTCTTTAAAATAAGGTTCATAAAGTACAGGTTTCTGAAAGTATGTTCAGACTACGAGGTAGAAAAGAAGCACAATTGCAATATATAAAAAATCGACTCCAACGTTTCTTAGTGCCATCAATCGAATCATGTTTTATGCCAAAGCATCTCAGACACATGAGATACCAACTAAATTACGGTATTGAATACCTTGTGCTTGGAAAGGTCATGTGGTACAAGCAAAACGTAAGTACGCAGATAGCAAGAGTACCGAGTACCTACCTGGTACGTGGCTGAAAACAAACAAGTACCAGACCGTAATACTGGCGCACCTCCGGTACATAGCCTACGTAAGTACGCGAATTATCGCACCCTGGCTCAATTATGTAAATTTTTGGCGAACAATCAATATTTTCTTTGCGTTTCTTCGAAGAAAACAATGGAAGAAAACGTGCATGAGTGATTCGCAATTCACATCACAATATCACATGAAAATACTCCTCGGAAAAACTCGGTACCTGTCGTAATTTACGAATCTGCCACGTGATTTACGACCACCAGTACGCTCACGACGACATTAGCTATATGAAAGTTGCATACCGTAGTTATCCTGAGGAGATGTTTTCGTAATGTCCAATGAAACACAAGTATTACTCACAAATACAAACGTTATCCATAAATGCACATGGTCTCTGAGCATACGATGCGCTAACACAGACAACATTGTTTACATTCCGTAAGTCCGTATAACGTATAAAATTCGAAAAACGCAGCGATCCAGACATCGCATTTCCAGACGTTGCACGAAAAAACACCAAGCCAACCTCCAAGAAAGTGCAGAGTAGGATAAATACAAAATCCACAGAAAAACGCGGTAAAATTCGTTGACAAATGGATAAATAAATATATATGTATAGTAAACTGGAACGACTGGAACACTGGAAACTGAGCCTGCGATGCGCTAGCGCGAACCCGAATTCTCGACGACGAAAAAAACAGAAAAAACCCAGAGAATTAACACTTGACCTTTCAGGTCAGTGTTAATAATTAAAAGCATACTGTTAGATGAAATGTTTTGTGTCTTTCCTTGTTTTACACTCCTCAAGATGAAAAAAGACACAGAAAAACATGTTTTAAGACGTATCGCAGACGTATCATATCGATCACGTTTTGGCTGCCCAGTGAGGTAGGTTGAAGTTAATTTGAAACTGCGAACAACTATGATTTAAGTCTTATTTAATAGTTTGAACGGTGCCTTCTTGTGCATTTCTTGAGATAATAATTATGAGTCGCGTCCAGGTATCATATTGCTGATATGCTGAAAAATTTCAATAAAAACTGCCGAAACAACCGAAATATTTCAATATTTACAAGTATAAACTATCACTCCATGTTTACATGGCCATGTACCATTTTTATTTCTTCAGCATAATCAGCAATATGATACTGGCCCTGCACGCATGAACTAAAAGCTGGAATTGCCTATTTGAGAACTGCTTTTAGATGTGTAGATTTCTGGATCACCGGCCCGAACTAAGAAGTACGACGCTGTTACCTTTCTGACCATGTTTGTTGTGAGCATTAAAATATCCAGTTCTTCATGAAAACATTGCGATGCTGTGAGGTATCCAATACGCTAAAAGAAAAACAACAAGAAAAAGTATAGACTAGTAGCTTACGCTGTGCTGTACGTCGAGTACCGATTTTAACTTTATCACAACTCTTGATTTTGAAGAACATGAACCCCAGTATATTAATTATTTCCATCCCTCCAGATAAATAAAACGTTCAACTCTACCTTAAATGTAAATTTTGATGAGCTCATTACTTCGATGATATTAAAAGCTGCCCAACTGATGTCATAGCCCAGCATTTGAATCTAAAATACAAATTGAATTTATCCAAAGCATATAGTGTACACTTTAAAATACAAGACATTAGTATGCATGTCTTTGAATTTGTCCAGGAACTGCATTTCACAATTCTAGTAACTGTCATTATAGGTTTCAATCTATGGTGCTTTCCAGAACTTTAAAAACACTTTAAACAGCTGATATGGCAACATTAACAACTAAGACATGTCTAAAAATCATTATTCGCACTATAAAACATAACTTACATAAACCAGTTTAGTGACTGCATTAGCTTTAACACTGACATTTTCCTGTTTCAGTTCTTGTTTTATGTCATCCAGACAGGAGGTTATAAACTTGGCCTAGAAATGAAGGAGCAAGAGGTATACTCTACATATATGACAAACAAAATCAACTACGATTGCTAAACTAAAAATCAGAACTCTTGTCCTATGCAAAGTTTGTGGTTAGCCTGGACATATTATGTATATTGCTCAAAATTCCCTACTCCCTGTGATTGCATGAAGTGTACCTTCAGTAATGTCTTCTGAGTAGATACTATGAAATGACACAAACCTACTACTGTATACAAATGGAATACCAAATTAATTAAGTTTACTATTAATAATTCCATCAGGCATTTTACTTTATACCATGCTTGCAGATTTTATTAAATAAATGTGGAGGTACAGTACAGGTAACCAAGGGTTTGGGGTTGATACTAAGCCAACATCTCCAAGTTTAGACAACTAGCTCCACTATACAGTACTTCCAAATAATTTTTTGAGTTTTGAAGCATACATGGACTTTCCATGGTGCAGTCATCAGAGTAGTATCACCTTTCACCTGAGATATTGTGGGTTCAATTCTAGCTACAGATTCATGTGAAAAGAGAGTGTCGTTCGTTAATTTTTTTGCTCCATGACATGTTTATAGATTGGTGCGCCAGCCTGCTCTGTTGCCAGAAAAGCCTTTTGTTAGACAAATACAGTAGAGCAATAATGCATAACAGCAGGTAGACTTGCCACAAGTCGACCATGGGGGAGGGAGGGCGCGGGAGAGGGAGCACGCGACCCGAGCGACGAAGTCGCGAGTGGTCAAGCGCACCATAGAAGGGCCTGGAAAGGACTTTGGAAAGTCTAAACAGCAGGGCTTCAAATTTGAATTTTTCAGCAGTATCCAACAGGATAGTTTTACTTAGTCTAGCAACTTAAAATCTGGTATCCACCCAAAAAATCCAGTATCCCACATTTGCATAACATCTTTTCGTTCACAATTGTCTGATAATTTATTTCAATATTTGGTCTTTCTTTGAACAACTAGTTCATCAGTTAATATTTTCTGTGTCTCAGTAGATTTTTTCTTCATTCAGTTTGTATAATTATGTATCTTAATATTTTGCCAACATACGTTGAATATGAGTGTGTGAAGACAAGCTATTTCCATTGACAGCGTGGCATGAAACGTATGCATTACTATGGTAATTAACTTCAGCCAATCACTTCAAGGCTAGTTTAATAGCCACACACAGATTGGCAGGGCTGAAGATAATTATATTTATTATATAGTAGAGAGTGAGATACTGAGAAATACACAGTGACATATTTTCCAGATATCTTCACCAGTGAAGATATCGATCATGTGACTTTTAGTATTTATACAATTTTTTACTTGGGATAATATAATAAACAGAACATTACACAGTGGCTTGAAGATATGGCTTTTATCTTCTTGCGTCAAAAACAATATTTTACTAACTCACTGCCCTCATTCATAAAATGTTGTTTTCACCACTCGAAGATAAAAAGTCATATCTTCGCGCTGCCGTGTAATATCCTCTATTTATATGCATGAAGATTGAAGATAAACACTTCTTATTTTGAATTTCGAAGCGCATCTTCTCTCATGCTAGCGACAGTATTTTCAGGGTTCTCCACAGTTGTGAGTGGAACAGGTAAATTTTACCGGTTACCGCCTGATAAGGAGAACCCTGTATTTTGTAGCGAAATATCAGTTGTGGACCGGACAGAACTTTTGCAGTTTCCCTCGGGACAGCTTGTGATTTCCAGTATCCAAATTTAAAATCTGATATCGCTGGGATATCGAGATACCGCAAATTTGAAGCCCTGATAATAATGTTCAGAGATGTCCCTACATGCATATTATGCTGGAATTTCTTTGCAAAAGTGAGAATAAATTGAATAATAGGCAAACATTTCGGTGTGACATCATTGTGCCAAGTGAACGTAAATTACATAATTACAACGTACCACATGTGCCATCTGTCAAAGGGTCAGCGGCGCAACATCTACATGTGTACTGTCTCTAAATATGTCGTGTACACAGAATTTTTGGACTATGGCATTATGCATTATTTATTTTTCATTAATCCATCATGCAAAATTCAAATGAAATTGACAATGATCTTGATTGATCCGGTCCCACATCCCTTACAGAAATAAAACTCTTCTGATCTTGATTCGACTTGATGTAGAATAATTCGCGGAATAATAGGGGGATATTATAAGAATAATAGGATAAAGTCAAGGGAATTAAAATTAAATTTTTTAGCAGAATGTGCATGTCCCTATAGAGATTAGACAAATAGAGCAATAATGCATAACAGAGAAATGCATTTGATATATAATTAAAATCATAATAAACAATGCAACTTTTGAGCCCTGGATACACTCCCCCCCAAACCAATTTTTCATTTATCTGGATTACAATTTAACTATGCCTTGATAACAATAGCGAGCACATGAAATTCACCAGCACAATAAAATTAATCATATATACCGGTATATCACAAAATAAATGAATAATTAAAAGTTTTACAGGAGTTTCTAACATTGCCTCTAGGCTCTGTTGATAACAGCAAAATAATATTAAATTTTGGGTAGCATTTTGTGTGGGCAACCTCAAAATAGTGCACAAGCAATTGTCTAAAGGGTGCAGGCAAGTGAAACTGTCTTGAAAGTGCAAGGCTGATGAAGATGAAAATGTTTGAGAGTGGAACAGAGGATTGTCTGTCAGAATACAAGGAGGAACATAGATTCTGTATGCCAGGGCTGCAAATAAATATTTGACTTGACAGGACATTTGTCCGATCACTTTTAATTTTGGTCAGACATAACTTGAATTTGGTCGGACAAAAACCAATATCACTAAATTTGGTCGATATAAGTCACGAGACAAGTATGTATCGCCATTCCGGCGCAACGTTAAGTAAAATGCTAGAATGCCTTGTAAATTTTATTGCAAAATGCAAATTGAGTGAATTTGCAATCGGATTTTGTCACAACAAAAAAATGTATGTGACAATTTTTTTTGTGATTAGACCAATGTCCGATCAAAATTTCTTTTGCTCGGACATTTGCCAAATTTAGTCGGACATTGTCCGATGTCCGACAGTAATTTGCAGCCCTGGTATGCCCTACAAACATTACAATCTAGGCTTCTAGCCAATCTAGCCATGGTATGCTACATATGGCAGTTAGGCCACATAAAAAAAAATAGTTGGTTAGCATCCTTAGCTATTGCCAAAAAGTGAGTGGGAGGGCAGTTTTTTTTTAAATGTTTACTAATTTTTAACGCCTTGGTTTTAGGTCCGAAACTGTATTTTCTTGCGCAGTACAGATATTTTTTTTATATATTTCAAAATATGATTCATACCATCATTTTCACACTCAATTTCGCACTTTATTATTAACACAATTGACTACAGTCAACAGAAATACTACATATATATTAGAGCCTGTTGATCAATAAAAGTTGGGGTTTTTTTTAATTAATTAAATAAAAAGTTTTAAAAAATCCTGAGCGGGGCCTTTTTTGTGCGCGGGCGAGGATGCTAACCAACTATTTTTTTCTTATGTGGCCTTAGGTGAAAAAAAAAAATACCTGTGGTTCCGGTTCCCGACCCTATTTTTTTCTGCCGACCCTATTATTTTTTCAACGCGATTGACAGTGCGACCCTATTTTCTCCAGGTGGTTGCGGGCTGCTCATACAGCGTGCCAAAATGGCGTCTGTTGTCACACTAATTATTGAACCAAATTGCCTAAATTCGTCCATAGGAAATACACAACTCTAGTTAATATTGATGTCGGGACTCTACTGCAAATCGCCCAGCAAAAAAATGCCAAAACCATGAAAAAAATATTCCAAAAAAAAATTTATTTCCGACCTACCGACCCTAATTTTTTCACAATATGAAACCGGAACCACAGGTATTTTTTTTACGCCTTATTAAAAGCTTTATATTGCTATTTAAAGCTTTATTGATCCGTTTACTGATTTCACATTTTGCATGCTCTTGTTAATTATAAAAAATCACCGATCTTGGCATTAACTGAATTAATTGCAATTATAAATACATGAAGATTGTGAGCCACAGTATAAAAATGTTCACCAAAATAAAATAAATAATTGTATATATGAGCATATAGTATCGGTAAGCCCGATTGACGAAGGTCATGCAGTATGGTCACGAGGAATTACTCGATTATTGTCATTATAATCCATTATATAATTTAGATTACAGACGTGTCAGTACAAATAATCATACCTCATTTTCTTTGTGATTTCTCAGTCCACGGACTAAATCTGTGAGGTTTCTTTCAAACACCATGCTCAGCTGTATAAGAAGGAACTTAATTACGATGCTAAAACAATTATTTTCGCCTCAAAAGAAGGAAATTGAACTTTGAATCAGAAAACAAAACCACTCTGTCTGGAGGCCATCTTTGCACAGTCACAAGATCATACCTTTAAATGTCCCCCATTGTACCTCGTGATCCCAAAAGTACTCAGTAAGGAGCACAGCCGAAGTTTGATCATTATATTAATCATATGTTTGATATAACTAATTTTGGCGGCATTTTCATCATGGCGCTCGTGCAAGGAAGCAAACGTTTTGTCATATGTATTGAAGATTACCACAAACTGATATAAACACAGTTTTTTAATCCAGTCCCCGCAAACACATCTAGTAGCTCAGTGGCCTCAACCATTGCATCGGGACTCACAGGTTGGATTCCTGTCGGGGGTCTAAATCAAGATGTGCAAAATCTAAGATAATATTTACGTCTATACCAAACACTGGCATCACTCTAGCAAGTGAAATTTGTAGCTTAGAGCGCTGAACCAGAGTCGCAGGACCACACACGAAATATTTCTAACTCGTGTAGATGGACAAGACGAACTTTCATCTCCCCAAGTTCAATGTTGCGATACCCTGGGTGCCAGAGGTTTTTCCACGCTCGCAACGCAAAAAAATATCTTTTTTTGCGTTGCGAGCGTGGAAAAACCTCTGGCACCCAGGGTAATGTTGCGAACAACCCGTAAACAACTTTTTGCTAATTCACCACGACACAAACAGACAAACTCATCAGTGAGTTGGGGAAATGGGGTTGAAAAAGTACAATGTGATGAAATGGGGGCATGTCAGATGGTACGCGAAATACTGGAAACGGAAAATAGTCACAACTAATTCTCCAGCTGCGTACAAAGTGTCAAGGTTACATATAGCTCGGTTGAAACATGGATGAATTTCGGTCTCTGTAGGGCCAGCTAGCTCGGGTACTTGCATGCTATTAATTTTCTCACCGATGGTTTCACCCATCTTCGTCAAACCTTGTTTAGTTGTCTGAAAAGAGTCGGTCAACGCTCTGCCGAAAGTAGACTTGGATCTCGCGCGCCGCTTCGCGCTCGATCTCGTCGCTTCGCGACTCGGACTCTAGAGAGACGGACTTGATCCAAGTCTATGCCGACAGTCGTGGGTTTTCTCCGGGCACTCTGGTTTCCTTCCACAGGGAATGATGACAGGGTGGGTTGGGACTAGCCCCGAACTGACCCATACACCGTGGCTGTGATACGTCATAAGACACGAGTCAGAAGCGCTCTTAACCTAACTTAATGGCTTTCTCGTCTCCACATCGAAATAATCAGTTGTAGATAAAAGTTATAGGTTGTTTACCATTTACATGGAAAACCCATCCGGTTTGAAATTGTGCTAATGGTAAGCAAAATGTCGGATAGAAAATCCCATTCGGATTATGCGCTTTCCATTTAGAGTGACTGACCGAAAGGCACTGAAGGGTTGTTTACCATTTACATGGAAAACCCATTCGGTCTGAATTAAATCGCGAAGAGCCTGGAACTGGTGAAAAAATAAAAAAGATGTAAATGGAACAAAATTCACAGGTTGAAACGTTCCAATCGGTAAGAGAGGACAACCTTTTCAAACAAACCGTTTATTCCGGAAAAATTCCGGTTGGGCCGTCGAAATATGCTTGTTCCATTTACTTTCCGTATGGAATCACCGGAATTTCCATGTATATGCTAAACAACCATATACACATTCAACAAACAACGGAAACGGACTGGACACAAGTGAATGAATTAATGAAACACATTTATACAAAGAAATACCTATAATATCATGCACTATCTAAATATATAACACGTAAGTTATGTTTATTTTCATCAGTGTTCAACTCAAGTTGCCAGCCTATGTATTCCGTATACCAAGAGCTTGTTCCAATTCTGCTCGTTTCTGCTGCACCTGTGAGAAGTACGAAACAAGAAAGATAAATTATAAAATGGCATTTACATGTTTGCTCACTTCAGTCACTTGTACGTTTCAGTATGGATTACACGACAGCTGTAGTGGCCAACTTCAGAAGTGTTAACCATGTTGCAGTATGTAGAAAAATACTTAAATTATTTTTGTGTGTGTAGGTGTTATGTACTCAGGTGAATATGATGTTTGTGATGTTACTCTGAGTATGCATCCACACCGGGCAAGCTGAAAAGTTAGCTTGGCCACGGTGGGAATCAAACACGTATCCCAAAGGTCGCGGGTTCGATTCAGCTTGCCCAGTTTAGCTATCCATGGTCAGACAACAAACATTGTGAAGACTTTGGTGGCGCAGTCGTCAGAGGGCTTCGGTAGCGCAGTCATCAGGGCAAGTGCCTTTCACCTCTGAGATCGTAGGTGCGATTCTCGCTACGGACTCATGTGAAAAGAGTCAGTCAACGCTCTGCCGAAAGTCGTGGGTTTTCTCCGGGCGCCCCGGTTTCCTCCCGCAGGGAAAGTTGACAGGGTGGGTTAGGATAAACATAGTTAAAAAAGTAATCACAATTGTGTTTATGTAAAGATAAATAGTCTACACGCGTAAAAACGCTCAGGTTGTTGCAATATTGATGAAAACAGGATTGAACAATGCTTTGCTGCCCACATTGTCCAAAGTTGTCAACAATATTGAACAATATTGCTACACCCGATTCAGGCTCAACAGCAAACCATTGTTCAATCCTGCTAAGCAGCGGGCTCGGCGTTTTTTGCCGTGTAGGCTAAGAAAGTAATAACAGGTAAGTAAGCGTAATACTTGATGTAATCGGTCACTGAAAAGCCCCAATGGGAAGTGAGCTGAATAATAAACGGCCAACCGTATACCTCGCAAATGTTTTTCATGTTTAAGATACCCAAGAGGCAACAAATATATAAATGGGAATGAAAAATATCGGCGGAGTAGAATAGTTTTCTTAGACTTTTGTGACTAACACTATTTAACAAACAGCAGTAACGTACCTTCGTGTAGAAGTAACGACATACTGCTTCCTGTGACCAAGGTAGGTAGTAGAAATCTGCGCGACGCTCTTCTTCAGGATTGCCCACCACGTCTGTCATTATCTGAAATATGTAGACGACACTCCCATTACCTCAGTAAAACTAACAACGCTTTTGAAGAAGAAAACAACCACCCCTGGTTGAGAAATAAGAAACAACCCCCCCCCCCCTGCCGGTTGTTCAAGGTTGGATACGCGCTAAGCCTGCATGGGTTAAAATTTAACCTGCTAGGGCCGGTTGTTCAGAGTTAGGTTAGAGCTATTCCTGGGTTAAAATTTAACCTGCTAGGGCCGGTTGTTCAGAGTTAGGTTAGAGCTATTCCTGGGTTAAAATTTAACCTGCTGGGCCCGGTTGTTCAGAGTTAGGTTAGAGCTATTCCTGGGTTAAAATTTAACCTGCTGGGGTCGGTTGTTCAGAGTTAGGTTAGAGCTATTCCTGGGTTAAAATTTAACCTACTGGGGCCGGTTGTTCAGAGTTAGGTTAGCGTTAATCCTGGGTTAAAATTTAACTGTCTCATTCTTCGTATTTTCGCAACTTTGGAGAATAAAACTTTAGTTGACCCCGATACGATTTCTGGAAAAATGTTTCCATGTTCATAAACCAGTTGTTGGGAATATTGCTTTGAAGCCTGCCGTTAACCTAGGATCAGGGCCGTAACTAGACGCGGAACAACTGGTCCCAGCTTTGGTTTGTGCATTTCTGCAAGTTCGTTTATTTCAAAACTTTAGAAAATAAAACTCCTGATTATCCAAACAAGATTTCTGGAAAAATATTTCCAAATTTATAAACAAGCTGCTGGGAAGACTGCTTTGACGTGTTTTCTTTTCACGATAGGATTAAGCTAACCGAACAACCGGCCCTGGTAAAATTCGCCAATAATCAATTTAAAGTTCGCAATTTCAATTGACTTAGGTGGTATTGGCCTCCCAGAAATAGCAGGTATTTCAGTTGATGTTAGTTAAGTCACTCTAATCAACATTAGCTCTGACAGCTATAACTGACCTTTAAATCTCTATTCTGTGACGTCACCCACTTGTTGATGAATTCCTACACAATAATATCAAAAATTACTTTAAACTTAGCGTTTAGTTCAGTGTTTAATAAAGTATAGGATGACGCAATCGTGCATGCAGCAGAGCATTCGTTCCAGCCACAGTATGTGCGAGCCTTGCTGGGATCTTAACCAAGGCGCGATACTTCAAGATTTTTAGTTCTGGCATTTCAGTGATTATTGCAACGTTCCTGAGCTGATAAAACAGAGTTAACAGACTCAACGTGTATACGTATAGTATTTAAGATAAAGTACATAAAGCACAGTTTTCGGTATGCACTCAGTAACATAAACCTTTTGACAATTACGTCGGAATGAAGTATTCGTTTTTCGTGACGACTACAACATTCCTCAGTCCCATCTCATCTCATTACTCCGATGTTTCATGCCAAAACATGCCGGAGATATTGCAGGACTTACGGTTATGAATACCTTGGAACGTTTGCTCGTGATGTGGTACCAGCCGCAGATATTGCGTACGTACGTGGTACTTGGCTGAAAAAGAAGCGCCAGCCTGGGTCATAACCTATACTTGGAAGTCATATTCTCACCTGAGGTCCTTGTGCAAATCCTAAAAAGAACTCCCTACTGACTTTCAGTTGATTGATTGTTTCGACCGTTTCGTGGATCTAAAAACAAAACGTTAAATTACACAGCGCCCGTATTGCTGTTCGTCTCACCACCTTGTTTGACCAACCAATAATAACAATTCAACAATGTCATACTGTACACTTGTAGGAGCTACATAATTCTCAGCTTCGTGAATAGTCTCTGTGTCAATTACCCCTTTAATGCAATGTTTCCAAAGAAATTTCGCGGTGTTGTAGCGAGAGACGAAATTGAATGAGTAACAGAGTCATATTTCATAAATACATTGATAGACATATACAGTACATAGTACAGTACGTAGTTGACTTCAGAGGACTACGTTCTAAGTCCTAACATCCCAGTGCACATCCTGAAATTTTCTTCCACCTCGCCTAGCTAGCATTTCCACCAAAATCCGAAATACTTGTTGAAAA